TGAACAAGCGCCGCGACTGAGGTCACGACAGAACACAAATATATATAACAAATAATTAGATATAAAGAAAAATTTCTAGATATTGGTTTACTAACTCTAAATATTTTCGCTTCAGTTGCCATTCTTAAAAACTCGTTACACTTTTTTCTGCTTTAATTACTAATTAAAAAGCCCACTCACTAAACATCATTAGCAATATTGTGAAGCAGTTTCGCTTCCTCGTCATATTTTTAACCTTTTTAGTTGATTTTTATCTCGTTAATTTAATTTCTATAGTAATTCAATGATTTAAATATTTCATTTGTTTATCTTACTAAGAAGAATTACTTCAAATATGTTAAACTTTTCAAACTACGCGAAACATAAAAGTATTAAAAAAATTACCTTTTTTATTTATAAAATAATTTAGCTTAAATAAAACTAAAACTTGCAAACTTTGTTTAATAAAGAATATTTGTTTCCTTTTTTACTTTACAAAAAAACATCGCTTAATTTTATAAAAAAAATTATAAAAGCGATGTTTCAAAAATATTTGTTTTAAACGTAATTTATTTAGCTTAAAGTTTTTTCGCGTTTAAAGATTTTTTATTTGCCTGATTTTTTTTTTTGTAATTGTCTCTCATCGGTCCAATTAATCTTTAGCACTTTTTTTTTGCTTATTAAAATGTTCTAAAAACGACTAAAAAATCTGGCCAGCTTTTCGCAACTAAATATTATTTACGTGGTCAGCAATCGAGAGCGATCACTCCCACTTCCATACATATATACATACATATATATATATATATATATATATATATATATATATATATATATATATATATATATATATATATACATATATATATATACATATATATATATGCATATTACATATATATATACATGCATATACATATATATATGCATATATATATATATATATATATATGTATATATATATTATATATAAATGCATATTTTTTTTATATTATATTTTAATACATTGTTTCCAGTTTAGGATGTTGAACGCTGGATCTTCTTGACTCGATGCACGGGTTTTGCTTGTGTCTCTGTTTTTATGACTAGGCAACTCATTCTATTATCTCCAAATGAGGGTACAGCTCTAAAACTCAGTTTTATGGTTCTGAGGCTGGCTGGTAGTCAGGTTTCCCGAACTCTGTGGTAGCTCTCAGAGAGACTGATTCCATCAACAGCTGAAAAATATCAGAGTACTAACAGTGCCATGTTGCGCATGGATGGTGTTCATGTTTGTACTTTTGGTGTGCATTGCCGAGGCTACATTGGAGCCCTTTGTTACGGCTTAGGGTTTATTAGTGGAAATGAGGCAATTGCTTCGGCTATAAAACAGTGTACTGAGTACTATCTATGTTTCGAGTCAAGTTCTTTAGCAAATTTAAAAATGAATAAAGTAACAAAAACTATAAAACACAAAAAACCACAGTCATCACCAAGTTCGCTAAACCTATCATTCACCAATATTCGTGGTCTTCGAAGTAACTTTTCTTCTGTTGAGTCTTATCTCTTGCAAAGTTCACCAGACCTACTTGCTCTTTGTGAGACTAATTTGAGTTCAGCTGTCTCATCTTGTGATCTTAGTGTTAATGGTTATCTTCCTTTAATTCGTAAAGACTCCAATAGTCACATGCTTGGCCTAGGCATTTACATTCGTAAGAATTCACCCATTTGTCGGGAAACTAGGTTTGAATCCACAGACTACTCTTTTATGTGCTTTCGTTTAGCACCACTTCACTCTATCACCTTTCTCTTTGTTCTATATCGCTCTCCTTCATCTCAAGCCTGCACTCTTCTTGATGTCATTTCTGATTATATTGACCAAGCCCTCATTAGTTATCCATCAGCCAATATTGTTGTTGTCGGTGACTTTAATGTTCATCACACTGAATGGCTTGGCTCTTGTGTCAGTGACTCCGCAGGCATTAAGGCCCACAACTTTTGCCTTTCTCAATCCCTAACTCAAATAGTCAACTTTCCAACTCGCTTTCCAGACAACCCGAATCATTTACCTTCTCTACTCAACTTATGTCTTGTTTCTAATCCTAGTCAGTGCTCAGTTTCTCCACACTCACCCTTAGGTGCTTCTGATCATGGTTTGGTCTCTCTAAAACTATTATCTCATTCTTCTTTACCATCAGAATCCCCCTATCATTGTACATCTTACAACTACCTTAAAGCTGACCGGGACTCTTTCCATGATTTTCTTCGTGATGGCCCCTGGGTAGAAATCTTTCGTCTTCCTGTTGACAAATGTGCTTCTTACATAACTTCGTGGAGTCAGGCTGGCATGTAATCCTTTATTCCCTCTCAACGATTCTAGGTTTTCAGGTCAAGCCTCACTTTTCTCCATGGTTTTCCTCGCATTGTGCTGCTGCAATTGCCAATCGAAACCATTACTTCCATATCTATCAGCAAAACAATTCTCCAGAAAACAGACGTCTGTTTATTACTGCTAGGAACCATTGTAAAAAGGTTTTGTCTAATGCCAAAGCCCGCTATTCTCAGATCATGAAATCTCGTATTTCATCACAAAAATTAGGCTCTCATGACTTCTGGAGAATCTTAAATAGTATCAATAATAAGGACAAGTCTGTAATTCTACCTCTTTTGTACGGTTCAGACTTTGTCACCTCACCTAAAGACAAAGCTGAATTGTTTGCCAAGAACTTTTCATCAATATCATCTCTGGATTCCACTAGTTGCGTTCTACCTGATATAGCCGTCAAACAGGTTGATCTACTGCTTGATATCCGTATCACTCCAGCTTCTGTATCTAAAGTGATTTCCTGCTTAGATTCTTCTACAGCTTGCGGCCCGGACAACATACCTGTTATAGTCTTGCAGAAATATTCTCCGGAGCTGTCATCTATACTTTCAAAACTATTCAACAAGTGCTTATTAGAGTCTTGTTTTCCTGTCTGCTGGAAAGCAGCATCTGTTATCACTATTTTTAAAAATTCTGGAGAGCGATTTGATTTGTCTAACTACCGTCCCATTAGTCTTCTTCCTATCATAAGCAAGGTTTTTGAATCTTTAATTAACAAACACTTAATCTCGTATCTCGAATCTCATAACCTACTTTCTGATCATCAATATGGATTTCGATTTTCTCGTTCTACGGCTGATTTGCTAACAGTAATAACCAATAGGTTTTATCGCGCATTAGATAAAGGTGGAACCATTAAGGCTATCGCTCTTGACATTTCTAAGGCGTTTGATAAAGTTTGGTATGCTGGTCTTCTCCATAAGCTTACTTCTTACGGTGTATCTGGAAACATCTTTAAGATTATCAAATCCTTCCTTTCCAATCGTAGTATAAAAGTTGTCCTCGATGGACAGCACTCTTCTTCTTATTCTGTAAACTCAGGGGTTCCTCAAGGTTCAATCCTTGGCCCTATACTCTTTTTAATTTACATTAACAATCTTCCAGATTTTCTCACATCTAAGGTGGCATTGTTCGCTGATGATACTACCATTTATTCTTGTCACGATAAGAAGCCAACTCCCTCTGATTGCTTGCAGGGGGCATCTGAGCTTGAAAAGGATCTCACTTCTGCTACAGCATGGGGCTCATAGTGGCTGGTGAACTTTAATTCAGATAAAACTCAATTTTTTTCAGCCAATCGTTATTGCAATAATTTAGACCTTTTTATATTTATGAACAGTAATGTACTCAATGAGCGTCCTACCCTTCATCTTCTAGGATTAACTCTTACTTCTAATCTTTCTTGGAAACTTTATAACAAATCCGTTGCAAAATTAGCATCTGCTAAAGTCGCTTTTCTTTATCGAGCTCTTCACTTTCTTACTCTGGATTCTATTCTCTATCTCTATAAATCTCAAATTCGGCCTTGTATGGAATACTGTTGCCATATCTGGGGTGGATCTTCTAATGATGCCCTTTCTCTTTTAGACAAGGTGCAAAAACGCATTGTAAACATAGTTGGACCTACTCTTGCAGCCAACCTTCAACCTCACATCGTCGTAATGTTGCTTCTCTTTCTCTTTTCTACAAATACTATAATGGGCACTGCTCTAAAGAGCTAGCGTCTCTTGTGCCATCTACAAAAATTTATTCTCGTGTTACTTGTCATTCAATTAAGTCTCATCCTTTTTCTGTTACTGTTCCTAAGTGCTCCAAAAACTCTTATTCGTCTAGTTTTTTTCCTCGAACATCAGTTCTTTGGAATTTGCTTCCTTCATCTTGCTTTCCTGATTCATATAATTTGCAATCTTTTAAGTCGTCTGTCAATCGTTATCTTGCTCTACAATCTTCATCTTTTCTCTTCCAGTAACTTCTAACACTAATTAGTGGTTGCTTGCAGCCTTGTTGGAAGCAAAGATGTTAAAATATATATATATATATATATATATATATATATATATATATATATATATATATATATATATATATATACACACACACACACACACTGTGTGCCAGTTTACTTATATGCTAGCATACATCCTTACATATTTTCATAACTTTAGTAGGGCAGAATTGCCAAAATTAAAACAGATGGATTAACTGTAAAAACATTTATGAGTTAATTAATATAGACAATCCTTCTATACTTTTACCAATAGTTTGTCTTGATTGCATTGTTATTGGAAATAAATTTGGTTATGTCAAGCCACTATTTTTTTCCAATCAAGGCAATGGTGTTTCTAAAATGGAATAGTTTGATTCTTTGATTGGAACAGCTCATTTCTTTTAAAAAATACAGCAAAATTAACAGAAATTAATTAATTTATTTCAACTATAAGTGTAATCTTTATGTTAAAAATAAAAATTAAAATTAAAAATTAAAATAATTTGAAATTATTATTATTAAAAAACTTTAACTGGAGCTGGATGAACTAAATCACCAAATAGCAAACAACTATGCTCAAAATCATAAGTAAGAAAACATTTTTTTTTTTTTTTTTAACTGTTATAAAAAACATAGTTAAAAAAAAATACCAATCATATGAATTCATACCAATAAACTATGAGATTCTTCTCCATGCTTTTGAATATGTTTTTGGCGTCTTTCATCCCAGTATTGCTTCAACAAAAGTGGAAATGAAAGCAAATATTCCTCTGGTATCCATGTGTGGGCAACCCACCTAGCCTGATAAAGATGATGTCCATTCTAAACAAATTTAAGTTATGATCAGCTTTGCAGAAACTCAGTTCAGTGCTATAATTAGCTAAGCTTTAAAAAATTGAGCATTTTAAAATAAAAGAATCATATTAATCTGAATTTAAATCAAGTCAAATATATTGTGAAATAAGTTGCAACACTTCAAACACTTTACAAATAGTACAAGTGTTAATATAAAAGAAATAATAAAAAATATTAAATAATAAAAAAAAATAAACTAAATAATAAAATATATTAATGCTACCAATTAATTGAGTTGAGAATGAAGTGAGAACTTTCAGTTCATTAGATTGAGAATGAAGTGAGAACTTTCAGTTCATTAGATTGTTCTAAGAGTTAATGCTTTGATATTTAACTAAATTAAATTTATTTATAATAATGCTTTGATAGATTTGTATCCATGATCGTTAGAATCAGGACTGTGGAGTCAAAGTTGTGACAGTTTTAGCGGAGTCAGAGTTGCTAAACAAAATTGCGACTCTGATTCCAATAGTAAAACTTCTCGGTATTGCACTTGCATGTACAAAACATTCAATCAACCTTATGTTCATACTAAACCTCAAAGAACGATTCATAAATTTGTCAAAAAAAAAATTTAACTTATAGCGTAATATTTTTTAAAGAATTTAAAGAATTTTTCAAAAATTTTGCTTTGGAGTTGGAGTCGGAGTCATGCTCAAAAAATTTCTACAACTGGAGTCGGAGTCGGAGTTGTATTAAAAAAATTTCAACAACTGGAGTCAGAGGCGGAGTCGCTACTTTTTTTTTAAGATTCCACACCCCTGGTTAGAATTGTTTTAAACTAATGGATATATAAAACAAATCATTGAGTAATTAAACTACAAATTAAACAGACTTATAAAGTCCTTATTAGTTTTAATATTCAAATTTTTCTATCAATCAATTAGTTCTGATATTTCTGATTTGATGACGAGTTGACATGGCTAGGACAAACTTATTATTAACTTTCTTGTAGTAAATGTTTATCTAATTAAAAAATTGTTTCAGATCTTTTATTGGAAAGTTTATTGCATACCCGTTTCTTTTAAGAATGCTTTGAAATCCTCAATTGGGTGACATTCTGAGATGTGTGGTGAGTTATTACCTTTGACCACATAATTTATGGAAATCTCTTTAAAAAATTATGGCATAATGTAATGAAGCCAGGTCAGGTTTAAGTACTGATCATCAATGATGACTCTTTAATAAAAGAGAGTTTTTCTTGATGTAATTCTCTCAGTAAAGACTTTAGTTAACTGTAAGACAATTGAGGACAAAGTATAGTTTTTTTTGGGTTTTTTATCTTAATCACACTTTATTTTTATCTTTATCACACTTTATACCCTTTATCACAAATGCAAAACCAGGCTAGTATTTTTTAATTAAATTTTACATTTTGAATATATTTTACCATGACAGGAGTATGTTCAACGTTGCTTGAGTAAAAAGTATTGTGATTGATTGTGCTGTTTGCTAAAGTGAAATGAGACTGGTCATCAATAATGCACAATTTTTCTTGCAGATTCTAATACAGGCAATCGCATCTCTATAAATTCTTTCTCATTAATCATCATTTTAAAATGGTATCTTTACCATTTTATGGCAATTGGCACTTGCCTTTATTTTAACTAGCAATTAATCAGGGCTGTGAAAATCACTTGATAAAAAAAATAATATTAAATTTGAAAAGAAATAGCATCTAAAGAGAAGAAAATTATTTTTTATTTTTTTAACTTCAATTTTTTCAAACTTTTCACAGTTTTAAAAAAAGCAGAGAAACGGGATTATCTTGTATAATACTAAATAATAGTTGTTAGTAGATTTCTAATATATAGTAACCAGTGGGTTACTATATATATAGAAATCTAGATATGTAAAACAAAAACTGTTGCCACTAACAACTATTATTGAGTATTTTACAAGATAAACCCGTTTCTCTGCTTCTTTTTTTTTTAATGTACTTAATGCTCTCAGTTAAAAAAGGAAATGGAAATTTCTTTAAAATTCTAATATATTGAGAACGAGGTTGAAAAAAAAAGGCATTGGTGAAGAAAGAGTCTCACCTTTGCTTTATAAAAAAAACCTGAGCAAACATGAAACTTATATCATATGTACGTAAACTTCATGTCATGTAATGTTAAAACATATTTAAACATATATCATATAATGCGCTGAGCTTCTGAACAAGAAAGCCGTGGTTCGAGTCCAACAACCAGCAACTCTTTTTTCAAATCTTTTAAAATCTTTAAAATATGTTTGTGAAGTTAAACAAGTTAAATGTAACAAGCTATGTAATTTAAAACATACTTAAACATATATCAAGTTTTACAGTTTGACTTTCGCCTAAAAACTGCATAGCGTAAACCTCTTTTTAATTTTCGATCTACAGCATTTATTTCCTTTAAAAACAAATTTTATATAATTTTAAAAATTTCAGTGACTAACGCGCTAGCATAGCCGAGTGTTGAGTTAGCCCGCTTAGCTTCTGAACAAGAAGGCCATGGATCGAATCCAAGCACCGGCAACTTTTTCGTTTAATCTTTCAAAATTTTGAAAAAAACTTGTGTTTACAAAATGTTTGAAAAAAACTTGTGTTTACAAAAAAAAACATGTTTTATACAAACATATCTAATAATGTTATACACTTTAACAAACAAAAAAATTTTTAAAAAAGCTAAAAATTCTAAAAAAATTTAAAAATGGGGGGATATTTGTTGCGTATGTGTCATGGTTGAGATACTTGTTATTTTAGTTTTACATTTCCAAGTTTTTTTCCAACTTTTTTTTTGTTAAGTTTTTTAGTTAAGTTTTTTTCCAACTAAGTTGAGTTTGTGCAAGAAAAATGAGTATACAACATGATTATATATAGAATATGAAATCTATAGAACTGTAAAGTTGTTTTGTTTTGCATTTTAAATAACAAAAATTAAAAATAATGCAAGCTGATGATTTGAACTTGCCACGCGGCGACCTTAACTTTTTCAAAACAGTACGGGGGTTAAAAAAGTATGTTTTTTATAAGAACATAGTTAAAAATTCTAATTTTATATTTAAATTAAACCATCTTATTAAACTAATTACTTTTAAAAATAATTAAAAGTTAAAGTTATTTAATATCGATACAATAAGGAAATTTAGAGTTATACAGCTATTTTACCACACCAATGTTAAACATTCAAAACCGAGTGCGCAACAATAACATAATTTAGGTAACCATCAAAATAGCATTATATTCTATTATTTTTTGGCTTTATATACTTTTTGGCTGATTCTTTATTTTAACTTTAAAATAAGGATCGTTCCTAAATTACTTAATGCTAAATTTTACAATTGAAGAAAACAAAAATAATCAAAATTTTTCCTTGCAAAGTTGTATGTTAAATAAAAAATTTATATAGTTCATTAAGTTTAATGAAAATCACTAAAGAACTGAAGTACTCTTCTACTTTTTTTAAAAATAAATTTAGTGTTGCATAATTTGTGGGTGATTCCTTAGCGTTTTATAGTCTATAGTTTATAATGCTCTAAGATCTTCTTAGTTTTACTATACTGTTATAAAATAGTATTGCTATTATAAAATAATAAACTGCTATACTGTTTGCTATAAATATTGCTATAAATACAGAAAGAATAAAAAAAATTCAAAATTTATAAGGGGATGTCTTTAATCCCTCAAATCGACACTGGTGACAGCACACTAAACCACTAAGCTATCAATGATATAAAGTTTATTTCAAACTGACTTTACAAGCTGTGGGTTATGTTTGTCAGTTCACTATGATGGTAAAAATTTGTTCAACACTTTGATTTGATACCGGAATAAATGCACAATACTAGAACAGTTTCTGACCAGCTCTTTCTAGAAATGTTACACCCATTTTTTATAAAACAAATTGTCCTGCAGATGAACAAAAACTTTTAAGACAAATATTTCATTAAAGAGAGATGTTGGTGTTATTTTTTAAAAAAGATTATTGCAATAAATTAGATTGAATCAACTTAGCATCTAGTCTTTTTAGCGTCTCATATACTGAATCAGTAGAATTAAACAACTTGATGGAATTATACACAATGGTGTGCCTAGAAAAGTGATAGTTTTGATTTTTTGCACAACACTTTTGTACAATATTCTCAGGCAAATATGTTTTATGTTCAGTACAAAAAAAAAAAAAAAAAAAAAAACAGTTATTCCAAAAACCTGCTCATTGCATTTTACTGAGAACTTATTCAACTAATGGATATTACCAACATTAACCTAATATTACTTAGATAGTAATTTAATCATATAGCTAAATGATGTTAAATCACCAGATCTAATCACATGGTAAAAAGGTGATTTAATTAAAACACAGCAAAAATATTATTTACATAAAAACAATAACATTTATGTTTATAATGCTTCAAAAAATATATATATTTTATAATTTGGGCTATACATATTGAGGCTAGCACTTGATTTTTCTGGGAAAACCCTAAAGGAAACTCTTCTGCACCTGTAATAAAATCCATTCAAAAATAAAGATTACAAACAGTATGGGGAAACTTCAGTTTTCAGCAATTCTGATTTTTTGAAAAATAATGTTGAAAATCTGACTAAACATTTTAAACATTAAACATTACTATTTATAATTCTAAGCAGTATTATATTTACTGTTGTGTATTTAAATCTACAAGTTATTCAAGGCACTTTAAATTAAAAAAAACAACAAATAAATCCAGACATTTTTTTTTCAATAAAATGAAAATAAACAAATTGAAAATAAAAAAAATATTTTTTAATCATAATAGATTACCCTCATAAATATATATGAAATGCCTAAACCCTAACTCTCAATCAATGTGTGTACTTAGGAGCCAGCCAATTCTAGTATGACAGCATCAGCAGATTTTTGGCATTTCTTTGACAAGTTGCATAATAGTTGCATAAAAAACATAATTATATGCATCTTTAATCAATTGATTGATTTTTATCTGCACATAATTATGTT